GAGATATTAGATACACTTGTATATATAGAAGCAAAAAAACAGGATTGTGTATTATTTGTATAAAATTATATACTTTAGATAAACATATAATATTTTTGTATCTCGTTATCGTTTACATAGTATGCACATGTGCAAACATACTCTCAAAAATTTGAGCACAATATGAAATTTCATAAGATTATGCTATACAAGTTTTTAATAAATGCTGCATTATTTATTACGCTTGTTTTGATCGCTACTCCTGATCTTTGATTGTCACTTATATAAATTTTCTCCACATTATCCTTTTTTACACATACATTACGTGCGATAAATATTTTTGCAAATTTATTGTAAAGTGAATATACAATTATAATGTTTAGAAATAGTAATGGAACGTAAAACTATGAAGGTCGTAATGATATACTTTATTTGAAGATCAACTGCATGAACCTTTCCATCACCCTGTGATCAGTCAATGCTGTTTAATGTTCACAGAGTGAAACACTTATAGCTATTTTAGTTTACTACATGTGAGATAATTCTTATTTATTTTCATACATTCTACATAAAATTAACATATGCATATTTGGAGTTATTGTGGAATAAGTAGAAAAATAACATATACTTATAAATATGAATATTTCAAAGGGTATACTATCATGTACACTGTACATTGGTTTTAATTCATCCCCAAGGTCCCAGTGTTCATCGTCAGTCACGATTTGTTCAAAGGATATATTATAGTTACTTAGTTTATAAATTAAAATATAGAAAACATTAAAAGTGCTAAACAAATGAAACGATAAAATATTTTAATACAACATCAAAAATTCATTATCCGTAAAGATGTTAGGCGAACGCCTATGGAGATTTTAGTAAATATTCGTATAGTACAGTAATGCGAAATTATATTACATTTGTGACGACAATACATTAAATTCGCCTGAATCATTAATTTCATTATAAGAATGGCATTGGTACAAAACACATGCAAAAACATGAAAATACTTAACGAATATAGAAAATATTGCCATCCGTATATTGAAACACACGAAGGAATATCTACAATACACAATAACGAACTATGTAACATAATTGCGGAAATATGATTAATTAAAAATATATACCTAATCTATAGATGTGAATGTTTAAATAAACTGAATCAACGCAAATGAAATGAAATATCGATGTGGCATGATTACAAATATCTCTTGTGAACACATTCACATTTTAGTCTTGGCTTGGTATATTCCCAGTTATCTCCAATCTTCCAACAGCTCCTTCTCAATATCCGTTCGACCTATTTACACTCCAAGACTTCAAACGTTATAAAACGTATAATTGCTCACAGCGTTTCTTCGTTCATTTCATTTATCGTTTCATGCGCTTGTAGATGTTTCATTCAAGAAGTTTAATAAAACTCATTATGATTCCATTAATTTTAATCCTTTTTTATTTACAATCATACACAATTTTTTTCAGTTATTAATGCATTATGTACTTGTCTGTACATGAAGATGCATACATGAAAAATTATAACATGTTACGGTTATATCGCCATGATTGTTTTATACTATTTTGTTTTAAATACATGCGTTCGAAATGTGTTCACATATTTAAAAAAAGGAGTATATGTAGTTAGAAACGTTATCTCTGTAGCGAACCCATGAAAACAGAACGTTGTACGTTTTCGTGTGCCTATATTCCATTGTTCTGCACTATAGCCATCGTCGTGTTTGAACGACTGTGAATAAAACTAAAATTAACTTATTTTTATCCATTATTGAAAGTCACATGCACAACGGACGATGAGAAACATAAGATACTACAACAGTTATATTTTTTTTCATTCTTTAAATAATATTCTCCAACAACGCATTTTACTAAAGAAAAAATAAATGCCAAGCACAACTGCAGTACACAGCCATCTACGTGTGTAAGCAATTAGTATCTGGTCAGTACTGGATCGCGTCCCAGTTTGTGCGAATATGTCTCTCTACGACTACTCACCCCCCGACATCGGATAGATCTTCAATAGCCTTATGGGGACCTCCTTTATTTGGAAGAGGAAGAAGAGGCATCCTTCCAGCAGAGCTTTCTTGTTGTTCACGTAATTGCTTTCTCCGTTTTTTACTCCATAACTCGTGACAATCTTGCCAGGTAGGAAGCTGAGGTGCTGGCATCCTAGATTTGATGTAAGAAATAAAGTTTTATGAGAAAAAGAATGGTTACAGTTCCTACATAAAAAACTACTAAAATCATAGTTTCAATATTTTTGTTATTCATTTTAAACTTTTATATGAAACAATTAACTATTTTGATGAACAAAGTCGTACTTCATGTACATAAAGATTTAGTTTAGTTAAAGTATGTTATCGAATTAAGTTTCAACACAGAAAATGACTTATGTATCAACATGCGTCACAACTAACGTTAATTTAAGTAGAATAGATATTTAAAAAAAAAGGAAACATTACTGCTCAGGTTGAATATTTTTCAGCCAGGCACTTTTCAGTGCATCAGCAGCTGTTATCCGCTTCTCTGGATCCAATTCCAGCATTTTGTCTAAAAGATCCAAAGCTGGAGCTGGCATAAACGAAAAATCTTCTCGTAAACGTCTTCTATGTGACTTTTTTGGTTTCAATGTATGCCATAATGGCAATTTTATCACAGAAGGCCAAACGGCAGGAGTCGGTGTACCACAAATCCTGGAAATCGTCTCCAACAGCAACATTTCTGTATTTGCCTAAGAAGGAAAAAGACAATTCCAATTTCTTTTCCTTTGCAACAAAAATAGTTTTGTTTGTTGTAACTTTCGTACTTGAAATAGTGGTTTCTTAGCAAACAGTTCTCCCAATATGCAACCACAACTCCATATGTCTATTGCAGGACCATAACGCTCTTCGCCCAACAATAGCTCTGGTGACCTATACCACAAAGTAATCACTTTGTTCGTATAGGGACGTTGTCTATCTTCAGCATTATAAAATCTTGCAAGTCCGAAATCAGCTAACTTGACTTCCCCTCTAAAGAAGTTATATCATTAAATGATTATTGCACACAAACTTTGATTCTTCATTTATAAATAACTTTACATACTTGTTGTTCATCAATACGTTAGAACATTTGACGTCTCTGTGTAAGAAGTTTTTAGTGTGGCAGTAGTTCAATCCATCTAATAACTGCTTCATGATACTCGCATTATTCATTTCGTTGAAATCAACCATACCAGATTCCAAAAGACCCATCAGGTCATGGTCCATGTATTCGAACACGAGATAAAATGAACCTTTGTCCTGTAAATACGTAATTTATTATTAATAGTTATTGTTAATAGTACGATTTTAAGTTTTATTTTAAACATAATATACATTAACTACCTTTCTGAAGTCCAATGCATCTTGCTTATCAGTAACTATTTCCCTTAAATTAACGATATTCTTGTGATTAAGTTGCCGCAAAATTTTGATTTCACGTACTGCCGTAATCGGGAATCCCTCTTTCTCGTTTTCCAAACGAACTTTCTTCAAGGCAACGAGCGCACCGTCTCGTTTATCTTGCGCTTTGTACACCTGTCCATAAGTACCTTCTCCTATTTGAGCTATAACTTCAAACACATCGACCGAGCGTTCTCCCCAATCTTTACCACTGGAAGCCGACATAGGTGCGTGACAATTTCTGGAACCTCTGCGTTTCAAAATTTTTGGTCTCTTCAATTTTGGTTTTGGTGGAACACGTTCGATCTTCGTACGCGGAGGTGTTGCATTTGGATCGTCTTCCCCGCTTAAATCTTCTGATCCAGGAACAACTAAAAATCAAATAACGATAATGAACAAACATTTGTTTCGTAAAATAAAAATTCCATGAATTATTATCATAAATCAACTTACCAGGTGGCATAGGCAAGTCTTTGATACCCTTCTTCTGAGGTGGCTTTGAGGTTGAAGCTGGGAATTTCATTTGCGCTTTACTAGGCGGACTAGGAGATCGACTTGGCGGCGAGTCTATACTCTCTAAATCATTTTGATTGATACCGGGTGGTAATGGTAATCTTGATAAACTTTTAGTTTTAAATGCCACGATAGGAGGTTTAGGAGGGTCTACTGATTTAAGAGGAACTAGATTGTTAGGAGGATTAAATTTCGATATGGCCGTAGTCGGTGCTGGAACCGGTATCGGTATAGGCGGTGGTGGAACGGATAAATTAGGAAGTACAGGTACTGGTACAGGAATAGGCACTGGCATAGATACTTGTGGTAAACCTGTTGCATTCGCAGGTTCAGATTGTGGCAATGGTGGTGGTTGTACACTTGTAACAGTTGGGAAATTTGGACTGTTCGTAATAGCAATTGGACAACTGTTAGATATACTTGTTACAGGTGAAGTATATACAATTGTTGGAGGATACTGATTAGTTCCAGGCATTACGTTTGGCGGATTAACGCTTTGTGTCATTGGTAATGGTGGCGTTTTCCCATTATCGTCCGACATTGGAACAGGAATATCCACAAGATCAACAGGCTTTATATTTTCGTTTGGTGTCTTCAACTGTTCTTTATGATTTGCGTACTTGTCCTTATTGTCAGCAGAATTTTTATTTTCAGATGATGCATTACTACCGTCTTTCTCGTCGTTACCTTCTATGATTTGAACTTCATCCTGATTCACGGCCTTCTCCTTGGCTGCTTGTAACTTTTTATATGCTAATTCCCTCATATTTCTATCTTTCACAAGTTCAGCAAACAAACTAGTCTCACTAATCTTTGCTTGTACTCGAAGATTTCTAGCAGTGATGCTTGATGGACTCCTTGCTCTGGATCTATGAGGAGATGGAGAAGGAATCCTCGAAGGGCGCGGACTCTTTGATTTATGTTTCCTGATCGATTTGTGTGATTTGCTAGGAGAACGAGATTTTTTCGGAGTACGACTCCTTCTTCGCGATCGCGATCTTGAACGTGACTGTAATTTTCGCCATCTTGCGGGACTACGTGATCGCGAACGAGAAAGGGGTAAATGCAATCTGAAAATAATAAAATGAATTTATTTGTGGAAGAAAAATAAATTAACTTGATCGTTTTATATAATACACAATACCTGTTTCCAGGGGGACTTCTGGTTGATCTTGACTTTCTTTTATCTCTTCTGTCCTTCTCATGATGTCTGTGTCGACGCTCAGATTCGTCTCGTCTTCTACGTTTACTCGATGGAGAAGTAACAGGCTCTCTGCGTCGATGGCTCACGGGACTCGGACTAAACTCCCTTCTCCTTGTGGAGGGACTGGGACTGTGCCTAAGTCTGTGCACCATTGGACTTGGACTGAAATCTCTTCTTCTTGCTGGACTATGGTCCCTTCGTCTTGATGGCGGGCTTGGACTGTGAGGTCTCCTGCGACTTGAACTAATAGTCGGACCTGGACTAACGCTGTTGCGTCGAGGATGAATACTCGGACTATGCTTTTGTCTTTCAGGTGTATGTTTCATTATGGATAAACTTGCTTTATTACTTTCTGGCGTTGTTGTCCTTGGAGGTAACAAAGGTGTATGAGGAGATTCTGTTGGCCTCGGAGGAAGCGGAGGAGGAGTTACGTTGCGAGGCTGCCTCGACATTTCGAGTTCTACATCGCTCATACATCTTTGTTCTTGAGGTGTCGCAGGCGATATGGGCGAGGTACTGTCTTTTAACGGCAAAGGCGGAGATTCCGACCAGTTTCTTACAGGTTTCTCGTGTTCCGGACTTATAATAATTTCATCCGCGATGTGATGTGGGCTCAAACTATGAGAATGCCTCTTCGACTTTCGTTTCTTTTTCTTTCCTGTACTAGATGAAGGGCTAATACTTCTCTTCTTTTTCTTCTCTCGTTTATGTTTCTTTTCTTTTCTTCTCGCATATCGTCTGGATTCTTCCTCATATTCAGGCGTTCCACCATGCATCGCTGATGTCGGCTGTTGTTCATTTGGTGAATAATGTCTGTTGGTATGTCTGTGTTGAGCTGGTGGTGACGGTGAAAGACTAATAGGAGATGCTCCAAGAGCACGCACTGGACTCCCTCCATAGTAACGTCTTTGTAAAACTTGTGGATCAGGTACTTCTCCATCCGTGTAGCTATTACCTCTACTATCTTCTGATTGAATTTCTCCAGCTTCTGGTTCTGATAGATCTTCGCTACTCACATCTGAGTACTCAACCAAAGGTTTAATAATCGAAGAAGCTACAGTCGGAACATTCTCTACAGACTTGTCTCTTGATCTCTTTTTCTTCTTTTTACCAGAAGCTTTGTTTTTTCCATGCCTTTTATGCTTCTTGTCAGTTGAGTCAAAACTATGTCGATTTATATCACTGCTAGTACTACCTCGTCTGCGAGATCGAAATCTTCCATTACGTTCAGCTCGTTCAATATCGCGGCTGCTAGGCATGTCACCTACTAACATACAAAAACACATTAGTATAAACGTAATTGACGTTACTAATTTGTAGAATTACAGCATATAAAGTAATGTTTGTTTAAAAATTCAAATCTTTTTACCTACACTGCTTTGTAAAACTGAACATACAAACTTACACATACATAAAAAACTTCGTTTATAAAAATATAACGAAGATAATCGAATAAAAATGCAATCGTGTTCTTTGTATCTAATTCCACTGAATAAAGGACTTTAATTTTCACATACAAATAACAAACACTTTTCATACTTACTGTAATATTGACTGATATAAAAAACGATTGAATATAATTATTTTATTTCTATGTTCTTCAATACTTCCATACAAATCATAGATATAACACGCACGCACACGATTTACGCATGTAAGAAAGCACACGAACATGCACATGTATAGATTAGTCGACGTAACAGTATTTTCGAACACCACGATTTTTCATCAAATGCAATGAAGCAGTGATTTCTAGTGAGGTATTCTATTTTCGATGTGAAAACAAAAATGTAGAGTATACAAACTTATCACTCGTCGAATCAAAGATTATATGAAAGAAAGGAATTTTTCGGTCGACCTAACGTAGCCGCCATTGTTAACAACTGGGTGGCAAGGGAGTTGCCCAGTTTTCGTAAAAAGAAAGTTAGTTACCGTTTTTTTAACGGGATCAAATTGATGAGTGGATATTGGTACTCACGTGCAATATAAATCTCGTGATATCACGCTGAATGTTGGGTTCCTTTGCATCGAGCTGGTCCAACGTAGCGAAGAATGTAAATGGTTACGTTCGTTGCTCCGTAAACAGTTTCAACACATATTTTCGTAGGCCACGAATGAAATTTAATAAAAATTAATAGCTATCGCAACAATCAAATGTTCAGGCAATCATATTTTTAGAGTTTTACTATCCGATGCATCATATCTCATGAATTTTCTTTGGATTGTATTTGGCTTTCTCATAAAGGTAGCTCTAGTAAGTAGAAGCCATTAACCATTAGCACGTCATTATTGTCTGACGTAACAAGTGATAAGTGCTGCACTCTCGTGGCGAAATACGCATTGCAGAATATTGAGCATTATTAGACAGTTAATGCAATTAGTTGAGGTAAGATATCTTTCATTATTAATTTTATATAAGTGAAATTTGTTTGTAACAATTGTGAAGACAATATTGCTATATCAGAACTTATTCTCTTGCCAAATACATGAAAATTCAGTATTATATATTGTACTAAACTGACGGGGACGCTCTCTGCTTATGGTTGGCGTTGCGGGTGTTTGTAGTGAGTCGGAAAGCAAGAAATAGAAACGCTCGTGAAAAAAGCTTGAAAACATAAAATTACAGGCCATCTTTAATTTCTTATTAGAATTTTGGAACATGGGAGAACGTTATAATATTCACAGTCAGTTAGAGCATCTGCAGTCAAAATACATTGGTACAGGTCATGCTGATACAACCAAATTCGAATGGCTTGTAAATCAGCATCGTGATTCATGCAGTTCCTACATGGGACATTATGATCTATTGAATTTCTTTGCTATCGCCGAAAACGAAGCAAAAGCACGTGTTCGATTTAATCTTATGGAGAAAATGCTACAACCTTGTGGCCCGCCACCAGAGAAGCCAGAAGATTAACTACAAGGAAAACGTGTAATTTATGCGTATCATTGCGTGACCGACAATTTTGTATTATTTTTGCATAAGTTGCAGATCTTTTTCATAATCGTGGTACAAAAATAAAAGTTGCCACTGTCATATCTTAGAATCATATCTGTAAATATGAATGATTAAATAAGTAAATAAAAGTGTGTTTAGAAACAATTTGTAAACAATTATATTAATCTAGTGATAAAGACAACAGTGTGAAATACAACAAAATGCCCACTCCATGTTCAACAAAATGTGGAAAAGATGCTATTCTTAAAGTAAGTTAAATGATCATTTGGCTTTGTTAATATTAAAAAATTGATCAAAATATGATAATAAATGATAAATATATTTGATTGTAGAGACCTAAAACTGCTGATGCCTTGTGTAAAGAATGCTTCTTCTTTGCTTTTGAAAGTGAGATTCATTATACAATAGTAAAAGGAAAATTGTTTAAACCTGGTGACAAAGTTGCCATTGGGGCATCAGGGGGAAAGGATTCTACAGTACTAGCATATGTTTTGAAAACTTTGAATGACAAATATCAGTATGGAATTGATTTATTCTTATTATCCATTGATGAAGGAATTACTGGTACTGTTACATGGTACTATAATATCAAAATGTTGAAAATGAATCGGTTTGAAGAATCTTCATAATTCTAGGGTACAGAGACGATAGTTTGAAAACAGTTCAACAAAATAAAGAGGACTATGGATTGCCATTAAAAATATTATCTTATAAACAATTATATGGATGGACAATGGATGAGATTGTGGCCCAAGTATATATTTTTACAACTATAATTACATCTTCATACTACAATTTTTAACATTTTCTCTTTTTTGTTTTTTCCATTATAGATTGGAAAAAAGAATAATTGTACATTTTGTGGTGTGCTCAGAAGACAAGCATTAGATAGAGGTGCTGCTCTTTTAAGTGTGGATTGTATAGCAACGGGTCATAATGCTGATGACATTGCGGAAACAGTTTTAATGAATATTTTAAGGGGTGATATTGCACGATTACAAAGATGTACTTCAATTGTTACTGTAAGTTCAATGAATAGGCTATTTTCATAAAAACGATTAAGAATCATTCCACGTCATATGTGTTTATAATACAGGCAGGAGCAGATTGTATAAGAAGATGTAAACCACTTAAATATACATATGAAAAAGAAATAGTTATGTACGCATATTTTAAGCAATTGGTATACTTTTCAACAGAGTGTGTGTTCGCACCAAATGCATATAGAGGACATGCGAGAACATTCCTTAAAGATTTGGAAAAAACTAGACCTTCATCCATATTGGATATAATTCACTCTGGTAAATCGTATTGCAATGTTTTTTAAATATAGTTATAAGTATGTAATATACTTAATAAATGTACTTTTTCTTCATAGGGGAAACACTTCAGATTAAAGAAAATGTTAAATTACCAGAACGGAGAAAGTGTTCTCGTTGTGGATTCGTTTCTAGCCAAGAAATATGTAAAGCTTGTATTATGTTGGAAGGTTTGAACAGAGGACTTCCAAAACTCGGTATTGGGAAATCGACTAAAGTTAAACGAGTCATGGATTCCATCACGAGTGACAAAAAGAAAAGTGAAAAATGCGAGAGTAATTTAAAGACTAAATTAAAAAACTTGGAGTTTTAAAACAATTTTTCAAAGATGTATGTCTTATACGAAGTCTTGGCACACATTATTAAAAGAAATTTATTAATTTATGAGTTGATAGTTTCATTTGCATTGATTTTGAACCTGCTGCAACAATTATTTTATTCCTTAAGCGTACATCGCGATGTTTTATTCTGTTCACGTCATATGTATTCTCTTTCTCAATCTCAGAGGTATTTATTTCTATTAGGCATCAATATTAATCAACAATGTATTTCAAGAAAGTCATACCTAATCAATGTTAGATGATATATGCGGCAGCTTTTTGTTCAATAGGCGTTCTACACATTGGACAATTGGTAGTAATATCATCTGCACAGTCTTCGCATAAACAGACATGCCCACATGGAAGAAGAATAATTTCGCGAGGATTCGTGCGGCAAATGATGCACAACTGATCATCTCTAAGATCAGTGTCTCTTACTCTTTGCCGTCTCTCTTTCCGAGATTCTGCTAGAGATTGTCTAAGTTCTTCCGCCATTCTCTGTTCTGTCCTGTCTTTCCAATAACGTCGAAGAACTATACCACCGATCAGCATTCCGATTGCACCAAACATTATACATAATAACCTACATATAATACTTAATAAATGTACTTTTTCTTCATAGGGGAAACACTTCAGATTAAAGAAAATGTTAAATTACCAGAACGGAGAAAGTGTTCTCGTTGTGGATTCGTTTCTAGCCAAGAAATATGTAAAGCTTGTATTATGTTGGAAGGTTTGAACAGAGGACTTCCAAAACTCGGTATTGGGAAATCGACTAAAGTTAAACGAGTCATGGATTCCATCACGAGTGACAAAAAGAAAAGTGAAAAATGCGAGAGTAATTTAAAGACTAAATTAAAAAACTTGGAGTTTTAAAACAATTTTTCAAAGATGTATGTCTTATACGAAGTCTTGGCACACATTATTAAAAGAAATTTATTAATTTATGAGTTGATAGTTTCATTTGCATTGATTTTGAACCTGCTGCAACAATTATTTTATTCCTTAAGCGTACATCGCGATGTTTTATTCTGTTCACGTCATATGTATTCTCTTTCTCAATCTCAGAGGTATTTATTTCTATTAGGCATCAATATTAATCAACAATGTATTTCAAGAAAGTCATACCTAATCAATGTTAGATGATATATGCGGCAGCTTTTTGTTCAATAGGCGTTCTACACATTGGACAATTGGTAGTAATATCATCTGCACAGTCTTCGCATAAACAGACATGCCCACATGGAAGAAGAATAATTTCGCGAGGATTCGTGCGGCAAATGATGCACAACTGATCATCTCTAAGATCAGTGTCTCTTACTCTTTGCCGTCTCTCTTTCCGAGATTCTGCTAGAGATTGTCTAAGTTCTTCCGCCATTCTCTGTTCTGTCCTGTCTTTCCAATAACGTCGAAGAACTATACCACCGATCAGCATTCCGATTGCACCAAACATTATACATAATAACCTACATATAATAAACATTTGCTTAAAGCCATATCTTTTACTTAAAAGAAATATCCAACTTACCTGTATGTTTTTTTACGTTCGTTCAATTTTCGAAATAAGGAGCTAATTGACATGCTTGTCAAATAAAATGGTGTACCATTTAATGGCGGTTGTAATGCAAGGATCTTAGATTTTGTTCTTGACAGTTCACCTATCCCTGTGATTACTGCACCCTCACGGAGTAACTCTTCGGTAGATTGCAAGCCGCGTTGACGTACACCTGAAATTCATAATAATCGATGGTATTATATTGTAACACGTTGCACAATTATTTTTATTTACCAGTGAAAAAACCCCATAAGTGATCTGCAAAGGATGGTACAGTTGGTTCAAAAGTGTTAGATACCATATCCAGATCTAAGATATCTGCTGATAATGGTTCCAATATTTCTACAGCTTGTCCTTGTCCTTGTAAAGCAAATGGTACAGTATTGTACACTTTATGAATAGTGCGTTCCTGATCTGACCTATTTGTGAACAACAGTTTTTCTTTTAATTTTCAAGATATTTTTAGATGAATACACATAGTTTTCTATTCATCATCAATAAAAATAATACCAGAAACCAGCAGTAGTTCTAGCTATAACATGTTCTTTGATTTTAAGCTTTTGTACCACACCAGTTAACTTTCTGTTATTGATGCTGTTTAATGGTTTTCCTAAAGGTTTTACAGTGCCTCTAATAGCTATATAGCCTATCTTATTATCAGAGGTATTGTTAACAAGGTCCTCCAATTGTGGACCAACTTCATGAAACTCTGCACCCTACAGAGAAACTGAATATTTTAAAGAATGTACTTTTAAATATTATACATATTATTATTGTTATAAAGATAACTTCTATGTATAACAAAATATGTAAATTTGAAAAATATGGCAAGGTTAGTTACAAAATAGCTTCATTAAGTAATAAGTTTTATAATAACAAATTTATATACCTTGACAGCTGTAATTGCATTTTTGCAATGAAAGTATTGTTTCAAACAGACACCGAAAATGACACTGTCAATTCCAAGAGCTATTATTTCACCTAAATAATCCATGACTAGGTTATATTTTTAAAGCTCCAAGACGAAGGGTTGTTCATCTTTGGTATTACTATTTATTATCGTCCAGCTCGTACGAGTTCATTTTGACGGCATATTTGATTAATAGAACGCGTGATTTTTGTTGAAAATTCAAAAATAAAATGATGCATGCAATCGCTGTCTGACGTAAAAGCAATTGCGTCTATTAAGTTGTCAGAATTGTCCAAAATGTGATATGAGTAGATGGCGTCTAAAATTATTTTACTCATTTCGCTGCATTAAGTTGATTAACCTGTTCGCGCGCTTGGAATTTTAGTACTTATCCCTCAGATTTATCCCGCGTACGCTCGGCTTATTTATTTATTTAATCTGTTTTAAAATATTGTTCTCATCATCGTGTCCAATTTGAAGCGGCGTACTAATGGGTCTATTCGAATCTGATCCTGAGCCTGACCCTGAGCCAGGTATGTTCGTTTCCTTTTTTAACAAAACAGATCCTTCGATCTTTTGCAAAATATGTATGACCGCTAGCCGTTTATGACTTGCCCATAAACCAAAGTTAGCATTTTGATAGAATAAGCTGATAAGATTTTTCTGTTATTCGAATAAATATAATATTCTACTTTTGTAGTCATGCATTCTGTTCTCTTTATAAAAATGGAAATTCGGAAAAGGGAAATTGTTAATAAAACATGAATAGATGTATTATGCAGTGGTGAAAATAAAAACACACATACGGCATGAATTCGAGAAAAGAAATTTTTATTGATAACATAGAAGTATTGGAATTATGTATAAACAGCATGTATAAAAGTATAAAAAATAAATACGGCGGTGCAACTCTGAAAATTTTAAGGAGAACGAATCCATGGTAACGCGTTTCACACTATCATCGAGAACATAATTACGATCGCAATGATAATAATGATGATGACGATGATAATAATAATAATAATAATAATAATAATAGTAGTAGTACTAGTAGTAATGATAATAATACAAATAATAATAATAATTGACGTTTTATCTTAATCGTATAATAAATTTCTCTAACACGTTTCCACACATTCAGAAATTCACTGCTTTTATTCCGAACAATAATCGATCGATTAAAAAGAACATTGCGGAGATCACACATTTGTTATAAATAAAATTGAATTCCACGATATGTTTTCTTCTACAATCGCTTACAATACTTCAACTAATTTTCGTTCGGAATATTTTTCACGTGTTTCGTTTAAACTCATGTAATTATTGAAAAAAAGACATTCAACGTTCTAAAATGTTGACCGTACTTTCTCATAACAAAATCGGCATTCCACGAAGGAAAAAATAAAAATATCTTCACACGTGGGTCATGTATTCCTTTCGTTTCATCGTTTAATGGATTTTACACTGAATCGCATTCGCGCAATAATCTTAATCGTGTGCTCTCTTTCTCTCTCTCTCTCTCTCTACTTGTATATATTTAACGTTAACATAATATAATTAAAAAAATCCTGCTGCGTGTTAATCGCACAAAATCTGGTATTATTTCTTGTATAATGCGTGATACTATTTCCTCGCAATATTTTATCAATTCGCAGAACAAGCAAAACGTGATATAAACGTAAAAATGCGAATTTTCAGCGGTGTTTCATTTGAAACTTTATCGAACGTACCCATGTGATGAGAATACTTAATAAAAAACGAAAACAAATAAGATTTTCAACCGCACGGACGCTAACGTTAAACGAAAAAAGTCGCCCTTCTCTCGAAACATCGCTGTTATCGTTTCACCGACTGTTTTCGTGACTCCCATTTAATTTATATGTATTCTCTTTATGGTTGTCAACTGATAACTTTGTATATACGATCGTCCATAATTGTCAGACTTGCAGCGAACACGATTGAGGTCAATCGCGTGTAGCAATATTAGAGATTATTCGAATTTATTCGCACACGTGTCCGGTTGATAAATCACTCAGGTTGTGAAGCGTATTACACACGAGCTTCCCGTTATACAATAACCACACGCAAATGGAACCCGGAAAAAAGAGTGTGAATTATCATTGAAAAATGAAAAAAAATCGCGCTTGTAATTGGTTCCGATCAAAGATACGGGTTAATTAGTCCATGGAACGGTCGTAATCAACCGTGTTTTTCCATTTTTGTCAAATTCCGATTTGGCAAAGTATGGTATATTGCGATCAATTAGTGGATCCGCCCATTATTAATGTATCCCCTAAAATGAAAAGACGAAAAGATCATCTCGCTCTACAATACCGAAATAAACAGACACAAATATTGTAATTGTTATTTAATTTTTGGCTTTTATAAGTGACTGGAGAGCTATGATCTTTTTATCTTTCGAATAGCTTATATATCTATCTAGTTATGTTTGGAAGTTCGATATTCTGGCTAGTTTTCGATCGTCCTTGATCCGAGTTCGTCTTGTGCGTTGCTTTCGTTTATGAAAATATGGCAGTTTCCTTGCTCCTTCAACTGGTTACAACGAACTGAACGCAGAACCAGTATAGACACAGATATTAATAAGGATTAGAATGATTTCGGATTTCAATCATTCACCTGACCAGGCAGTGATCGGATAAATAATTCATTAAAGCGATTGCGATCGATTCTAATCTTTGCTCCCTTATCGAGCTTTGCATTCACACGTTATTTTCCATTCGTTCCTTTATATTTTTAAATAAAAAAAATTTTCCACAACTCAACATCGCTGCGTCGTTACGCGTTCCTTTTAAACTTTGTTCATTAATTTCAGTTCATGTCACGAACATCATCACAGACAACATTGCTTCAGTTGCACTCCAGCCGTAATACGATAAGATTTTCATTCTTCGTTTCCTTTTCTCTCGCTTACATTAGATGTTATCTAATCTCTAAAAATTGTCCAATCGTACTTCGTCTCCTTTCTTTGTTCGCGCTCACTCAGATATATATGTATATAGACATTTTGCCTTTAAATACTCGTTAAAAACGTATTAAAACGTTCTCTGGTTTCTTAAAAGCTCGATATCTTCGATTTCTATCGGTCATCGCAGAGATTCGAAGCAGCTCGGATTTCCTCGTTCTACGAGTACTTCTCCCACTTGATTCGTCTTCTATCCGTGACCGATGTTCCTTGATCGTGAGAAGATTGCTTATTTCTCTCACAGCAACAAGAATCTTCTTCGAGTACTATTGACGGTACTCGTGATATCCTTTCAAACACAACTCGTCGGCTCGTCCTGCGTTTCCCTTACGATTCACGACTCGTCCCGACGAGTCGTATCCACGAATCGCAGACGATTGTCAAAAAATTGCTTCCCAGTCAAGAGAATACCGATCAGGTAAGTCTTCTGATGATTCTTCCAGAAGCGACACGACACACGCGCTCCATCGATTTGTACTATTGTCCACTGCGGATCGCGGACAACGAACGATTGTCACCTGATATTGACGCGAATCAGTGGCGTTTCTAACTCGACTTCGGCCGTATCCTCAGCTCGAGGATCACCTCCAGGCAATCCTAGGCTGGAGCCTGGACCACAGGTCTGTGAATCGGCACAGATATCACGTAGATATCCACCTTTTCGCCGGATGCCTTATCCACGATTTCGCCGTAGTTGACAGAATCGTACGGCGGCGGTGCGAACAGGTGATACGGTGGCGGAGGTGTCTCGGTCACCACTTGTCCGCTGCTGATCACCTCCGTTCGTTGGGCGTACGGAACCGTCAGCGGCCTTCCACCGCGACGACAACACCATTCGGAACAGCTGACGATCAGAAAGAAGGCAACCAGTCCGCCAAACGAACCGATGTACCAGACAATCGACCACGGGTCCAAAGGGTTTTCATCTCCGCCTGGAACAGAAAGAACAAATTCGCCTGTGAAAGAAAACGATAGCATCGTTACTAGGGCTGTTCATTGGTTTCGGGTAGGAATTTTCTATACAGGAGAAGGAGAGTTAATGAAACACTTAATAAAGTGATATCTGAAATAGCGCCCACGAGTCCTATACGTAAATCGAAAGCAGTAGATCACGATGGTCACGTACATTTATGTGTATGTATGTAGAACGGAGAGATGTAGTTATTGGTTTACTCTGATGACGTCTTTCGTTACGGTACCAGCTGGAGAGTTAGTTCACAGCTATAAATTCCTTAATAATTTACGCCAAATCAATGCCGGAATTGATTTAGTCCAATTATCAAACTGCTCACGTCTAACTCACTATGCAAATTACGTTCGACGATCAACGACGATCGTGTACGTCTAGTCAGTTTTCATTAATTACCATAACTAATCGCTCGAAACTCTAAAGTAGGAACGAACGAAGAGGAATACGATATTTCGTATTAATATAGACTCTACCGTTGTTTTAAACTATTCAGAGACCAGAGAGAAAGTAGCCCGTATAGCGTGGATTAAATTTGATCTTCGCTAATTGTAAGACGCCCCTGTATGACAGCAAGCTGTGGGGGTAAAATTAAAATCGCATGGAAAGTTTTGCAGGAGTTCACAACGGTCTTAATGTCAACGAATAAGTTGTCGTGCGCGTGACATTAATAATTCTGGTAGCGATTTTCTGTTAAATACGTAACATATACATCTTTCGCTCAGACATTAATTACGAAAGATTTGTATGCGAATCGACGGTTATTAATTTGTTAACTGTTCGGACTGTTCATTTAGGCAAGATGCTAATAAAATGTTACGTTCGCGAAATTAAGAATTCGTTACGTATGCGTTGTTAAAAGTATAATTGGGATATGATTCATTTGTTGATTTCATCTCTTTCGGTTGAGAACTTTACACTGCGAGGAGCTTTGTTACGCGTATAATTGAAACAGAAGATTTTGAATAATTCATGACGAACGAGGGACTCGAGATACCTGGTTCTACGATTTTTCTAAAAGATATTCGTCTTACTTGAGCTTTTCAACATCGCTTTTAAACAGACTAAATTAGAGGAATTATCGGTCCCATAACAAATATGTACTGACCGTCGATAAATAACGATTAAATCTGATGTCATCCGTCACAAAGAATGTCGTTAACAATGGGGCAAGGACCATATAAGGTGTGGTGGTGTCGCTCAATGTAGTGGAATGATTAACGGTGGCATCAAATTGAACGAGCATTATTACCATTGGTTGCGTTCCCTCCTTTAGTCTGCAGACTTTCTTCTTTCTCGTTCGATTCGGACTCGAACTCGATTACGTAGACCGTCTGCTCGTCGTCACGATCATCGTTTGTCGAATCGTCCGGGTGCTGAGGGTCGTTATTAGCCTTGTGAATCACCTCGTTGCTCTCCAATCGTCGTTGCGCAGTGACATCGTAACTCGACGCTCCGTGAACTGCAATAAGACAGATATCGTTGCATATGCGGTCAACAAATAGGCAAGTCTCATGTAACGACGATAGGACTAGATAATTGAACAATTAGCCCCTGAAGTTAGAGATGTCGCGAATACTTCCGCGTTCTTATGAATATAGGATTTGCTTTTCGGAAGTTGTATTTGGAAAACTTTGAGTAAATCAATTATTGACATTATTGTTATATTTCTTTCAATAATTTGACTGTTTTCGTTTTTAAATTGATTTATCATTTTTGAACCTCTTTCTCATCTCTTAAAATGTATAACGATCAAATATTTCTTTTGATTTATAAACCTTGATACTTTGCAAACAAGAGTTCGTAGAATTTGAGGGACTCCCGGGTACCGTGGTGAAAATCTCACGATAAGAATAATCCAATGTAGATAGGTGCAAAGTTCGTGGTATTAACATAAAAGAAAATTACACAACATCACGAGCTCAGGAACCGATACGACGTAGGCACTTCAGATAAAATCACTTGAAAAAAAATTAAACAAGAGAATAAATGAGAGATAGCCATTAACTGGACGATATGAAATCAGTAAAAATGTTTCACGTGTTCACTCAGTGGGGGGCAATATATCTCATTAGAACAGAACAGAGTCAGATTTGTTTCGTATCTCATCTGCAAATATTCACTAAGATCGTGAGATCAAGCGCGATTCAAGATGAGACAGATTTACGTGACGAATATTTTCAAGTACCATCAATCAGTTCACATCATCGCGTTTAATTTTATAGCGTTCGTCGTAACATCTTACGATGATATCATTAAAAAATGCTCATAAATTTCTTTGGTTTCAGATATACTGGATATTTAAAGTTTAATTATTCTCGTTTCATTGTTACTGACTAGGTATGCTAATAATTTCATATATTTACATATCCACGTGTTAATAACTATTAAAAATTGTGCGGTCCAAATGCTTCCTTCAGCCGACATTGTTAACTATATATGTATAAACATTGAATTATCTGTACTGATTTCATTATAAATTTTCTTGTAAAGAAAAAATATTAGTGCCAAAATTAGGATCGACCTATCTGATCTAAAAATTGTGACAACATATATATTTATCTTCCTATTAGGATTAAAAGCGATCGCAATCGTTATTGACATACCACTTTGGGAATAAAAAAGTGTTCGGCCAATGTCAACATTTTGGAGTGTTAGCACTCTTAGATAACATTGTTTTTTAATAAAAACTAGTGCATTTAATTAAAAAGAAAGAAGTACGAGAAAAAATAAAGAAAAACACATTCGAGGTTGCCCACTTTAAATTATATGCTTCTGACGTACCAGGACGCCACAGTGATACAAAGTTACTTACAAGACGGCATCATCGTTACGAAACTTAATTTCATGCGAAATTACTGCTTGAGATATATGTATGTACTCCCACGGTTCAATACTACATACACAGTTTTGTTTCCCAAATACGCAAGCTCGAGAAAATTAAATTTTTGTCAAGAGTTTGATTAGACCTTAACATGACTAATGACTATGGATTCCTGGACTAAACCCATTGATTTGTAGAACTGTTTCGTCAGATCGTCATATCTATTAGATGATTCAATCTTACATATAGTCAACGTGGTATCACCTTATGGAACGAGGTATCCGCTAGTATGAGGTAGCACCGAGCCACACGTTTTCTCGCGAGTTTAACTCTCGCAGGAGTATGCAATTAAAGCACGAAGCGATGGATCCGGGGCGACCCTTTAATCAGTTTCGAATTGATTATCTTACAAGATTACCGGTTTACGAGACGCAAAGGAGTTTCGTGTTTGCTCGTAATTAGAGTGTGGTTCCTCTGTGATCACGGTTCTTATTGATCTCAAGACAAATATGATCTTTGGTATCCCCTATTTCATTGCTAATTAATATATGCCATTGTAGAGGATTGTAAAATGCGTGCTCAAAGAACGGCATTAAATTGACTTGAATTCAAATTGGTACTCTTGTGCAGTCAGTTTTCAATAATTGGATAGCCATACGGGATATCGTCCGAGGCAGTCCGGTGAAGAAATAATAAAACGAATGAAAATAGGAAAAAGAGTTTGAGATCGTATATGGAGAGGCAAGGCCTTATTCGAGATCTTCAATTTGCCTCACGGTATATTGGGTACGATGCGAGTCCTCGCCAATTTCTCGTCAGGCCATCTCCTGTAATCGTATTCCCGAAGGTCGCCGGTGATTAAGACGGCATCGTGGCCGGGCTATATACCCACATGAAACCGTGGAGGAATGAATCGTTTCGCGTTAAGTGGAGAAAAAGCCTGTATAAGCGATTCTACGTAACGGAAACGAAGGAAAAAAAAAAAGAAGAAACGAAGCGAACGTTTCGTGGATCACGTACGCCTCTTTTCCCTCGAAGGGAATGAAAGCAACCTGAATATGGAAAATCCTCGGCCTTTTTCCTAGCGCTACATAGTATAGCTATCGACGTTGGCACAATGAAAGTTACATAAGCTCCACCTTTGTCCGTCGCGAAAAAAAATCGAATGGACTCTATTTTTATTGGCTTCTGGCCCCATCGGAAGCTTTCGCGCCGGGTCGCTCCATTAAATTCGTGGCGCAAATATGTATGTACAGAATGGAGTAACAAAGATTCAAATATTTTTGCATCGATTTAAAAGATATGACACAGAGAATAATTTTGTTGGATAGTAGGAGAACAATTATAATATTTAGAATTAGATCATTTTCGCGAATGTTTTACAAGTCAATGGATAGACTTCGCGAGATGGTCTACTAAACTTTGTTACTGCACAGTGTATCATATTTACCGGATCATTCCAGAAACTCGACTATCGCATTGTATGTACGTAAGACTAACTACACCGGTGTATGCACACGAGTAATTGTACGTGAATCATTTGTTGGTAAAAAATGTGGAATTTTTTGGACAGTTTTACGATTGAGACCTCCGAAACAACATACACGCATATGTGCATAACGATTTGGAAAAATTGGATTGCGAATATCGCGGTACACCGTGTGCACACAGATTTAGATAACTGACATTCACTTGTCAATGTTTATCTAAGATCATTGCAAACAATTAATATAATGACGGTATTGAGTTATTGAACACGCTGTTACCTGTAAATTTGGCGTTCATTAGTTTTGTATTACCCGCAAGTAAGTATTATACTGAAGTTGAAAAAAATCCAATCCGTAAGATTTTTGCTTTAAATCAAACTAGGTAAATTTAGAGACATGTGATATAATCGAAAGTTTGCATCATACTTGAAGAAAGGATGAATCTGCTAATTAGTCTCTTCCGATTTCTCTTATCTTGTATTTACGCGGGAATGTATATCACGGTAAACGTATTCGAGGAAGAATGCAACGGGTAAACAAGAGAAGCTTATTGTAAAATATAATTCCTGATTTAAAATGAAGATGAGAGAGCCCATCGAATGGATCTGCGGAGTAACGATATCCTTGAGTTGTATGCGTCTGCTTCACACAAATTGGCGATTCTGATTTGCTTAACGTTAATAATTGATTCCTTAAATGTCTTTTAATATAAGTCACTCATTTCTAACGATTTAGGCATTAAATGTATTATCTAAAAGATGAAAGCGTGAGTCAGGGAAGTTAATATACTTTTGATTAGTCTACGTACGATGCAATATATTTAACGTTTCCCGTGATGGGGAAAAAGTTTCGTGTAACATAACAACGGATTTATTTCACGACCATGCCGGAACAGCTACACTTTAAGCGCAACTTCCGTCTCGAACTTCAGTGGGATAACTTTTTGGCGAAAAGTTTATCAACGAGATAGAACAGGGTAATAAGAGGCCGGTATTTCTTAATAATTATGAAACAAATGCATTACAAAGTAGGTTACTGCTCGTTTTAAAGTGATAAGAAAATAGCATTGTTACACGCAGTTTTATGAGTGGTATATTATACCTTTGGGAAGTACACCGATTGAGTTAGCAATTTGCAATATTCCGTAAAAATTAAATGAATCTACATCCTGACTGTGTAAATTTTTATTCTAATGGTAATCGCGAAGATTTATATTTATTAAGAATTAGATTTATATATGATAAATTGATTGATTGAAAAATTGGAAACGCGGATAACGATTATAATCGCATATAGTGCGATTGTTTAGTTAATCAATCCGATTATGTACGGTCCATGTTATCTATCTATTTTTTCTCGACGCAGATGGATCTGTTCGCGATCGTTTGGAATGATGTACGGCACGATAGTTGCGCAACGCATTTGTTGACTGATCAGTAAGTCCTCGTTGACTTCGCTGGTAAAACTGTTTTCTATTGTACTATTCCTGGACGCAGCTCAGTCAGCAACGGTTCCAGCTATGTACACGCAGTTAATTATCCAACCTTTGTTTTGCTACACGTGATAAAGTTTCACTCGACGAACAGTATGAAACACGTTCGAGATGTTCATGGTCAGGCCCCTTGTGTCGCGACTGATCTCTTATAACGATTGACATTTTATTTCCTATATCAGATATTGTACTGTGTAATTTTTTATGAAATGTTGGCTAGAGTTTGTATTCGTTGCATGCATTCTTAGTATATTTTGATATTTACATGGGCGAAAAAGTGTTTGAGCGATTTAGGTTGAAACATTAAAGAAAAATAAGAAACAGGAAGCCAGTTCATTAAAAAGCAATTAAATCGTGCGATAATAAACTAAACGATTGACGCAATCTTTCAATTTACATCCTCTACGAAGCCTAGCAACTTTCATCGAAATTCGCCCTCTTAATTAGTTTTCCTAAATCGATAAGCAGTCGAGTCAATTATACTTATACACGAACCGATAATGCTGTACGACATTATCGTGGTTATCGATGAAAAATAATGTTCTTGAAAGATAAAGTGCACGCTCAGGGTATCGTATCGATCTCTACACGTGATCTCAAATCAGATTTTTAAAAGGGGAATTAGTTTTAATGAATTGTGAATTTCAGTTTTTCCAAAG